AAGTCACCACCAATGATAAATTTATTACCTAATTGAGAGAAAAATGAAGAAAACTGAGCACAAGAAATTTGAATCTTGGTGGACAATAAACAGCAGAAACACAAAAATTATATAAATTTGTTTCAACAGAAATTTGAGTTGCTTGTAGAAAATCATCAGAAATATTTGGTAGAACAAAATGCTTTATATTATTTTTGATTAATATAGCCGAACCGCCGCGAGCCCTGCCACTTGGGTGATTTGAATTATAAGTAGTGTAGTTATAAATTTTGAAGTAGTTTTTTTCAGTGAAGTGAGTTTCGGAGATTAATAAGATATCTATTAAGTTTAACTTTAAAAAACATTCTACTTCATTTTTGTGAGGTATTAAACCGTTGGCATTCCATTCAGCAATTTTAATAATTTTTGCCATTGCTTTTGTTGTTGACTAACGTGGATAACATATTTATTATTATGGTGTTCTGTTGCAAAAGCTGATTGAAGATATTTTTAAATTCTAAAATAAGTGTTGCTAGAGAATCAGAATCAGGATTTGAAGGTGAATGATTAGAAGCAGAGTAATTGTTTTTTGCAATGTCTGCATAGGATGAATTTTAAATTGTTGGATTTAAGGCCGGAGAAATGTTGTTTATTTTTTATTAGAATTAGAATTATTAGAATTTTTAAAATTTTGGTTATTTGGATTTGGATTTATGACTGATTGATTTACTGGAGTTTTGTTTCTTTGTTCTTTAATTTTTTGGAAGTATGAGCAACGCGATAATTAGCTGGATGAGCACCGTCGCAAAAATAACAACATGCCGGAGCATTCGGATATTTGGTACAAGCTATAGTATTATGATTGTCACCGCATTTTAGGCAAGCAAATGGTCTATTGCAGTATTTTTGGTGTGATTAAAGAGTTGACAGCGAGTGCATTGTATAATGTTGTTGGACTTTCTCGGTGGTTCGACGCGTATCATGCAGTTGAATAATTTATAAATGTTATAAATATTTTTTTATTTCTATTTGGTTCCAGATCAACAAAAAAATATCAAGAGATTCTTTTGTTATTCTATGTCTAATATTTAGGATATTACGTACGACATGACCCTGTTTTAATAGTTCTAATTTAATTGCATCTGTGCTTGTTGAAAAGTGTACATTTCTAAGAACAACCCTAAAAGCCTTCTCTTCTATTAATTGATATGTATGATATACGGCATTAGTTTCTTTTAGATGTCTGGATAAAGTTCGAAAATGGTCGAAAATGTATTGTTAGCTAAACTTCTCAGGAAATATTGATCGTGCGGAATTATTTCATTTAATTGATTAGACATATCATTAATATCGTCAACTCCGTAAATAAATATTGGAGGGGGCTTACCGACTGGAGCCGGTTTAACTGAGTTGTCATCATCAGCTGTTTCTATTGTTGAAAGGGCCGAAAATCGGTTTTGAATTTTGACATCTATTCCTAATGGTTCAAATGAAGTTTTCCTTTTTTTGAAATTGACTACTTGCCATGAATTAGGAGGTTTCTTGACATCAGAATGTGGTTGAGTGAGGCTTGTAGATGCACTATTACTAGATGATATTACTTCCTGTCTTGAGTCAGAAACTGATGAAGTTGAACGCAGCGAGACCTTTTCCGATGTAAACATATTGGTCCGACCTTCTTCGCGAGGTATCTTGCTGTATTTGCTGGATCCAATAACGGTCTTTCGTAGTTTTGGGATTTCTGATGGTTTACTGTCCGATTCCATATTCGCTTTTATATCTTGATTGAAATGTAAGACATTTTTTTGATTCCACAAACGCATATTAGAGTCTCGATTATGTATGGTTTTTTGTAAGCAATTATTTAATTATCTGTACACTTTTGTAAGCTTTTCATGCAATTTTAATAAACCGTAAAATTCAATCTGACATGCCATGAGTAAAATGAAGAAATAAAGCATGCATAGCAGCATTTACCACAGAAACGAACAATATTAACCCTTTCGACTCGAATGCAATTATAGATATCTCGAAATTCGCGAGTGGAAAGTGTTAAAGCATACATATATGATTCATTCATTCCTGTTTGCTTACTTGATCAAAAACGCTGATAACGGAGAGGACGGCGAACGCAACGCAATTATATAGGTCAAAAAGACGGCATTTACAGAGGATATTGGATTTCATATACACTGGAATCCGCAAATAACGAAATTTCTAGCCGCGAATAAAGGTATCGGGTCGCAATTTTTTTGGCCGCGAATAGCGAAAACGCGAATGAAGAAGCCGCGAATAAGGAGGTTCTACTGTATATCTTCTTCATAAAAAAATTACCGAACAAATGCTTATTACAGGTACGATTACTTGTAGGAATATAAATTCTGGCTTTGCGCATACATGAATTCTAGCCTCTAAAGGAATTGTAACAAGGTTAGATATATTATTACAAATTGAACAATGTCGATGGGTCGATGCTATTCGATTAAGACAAAGTTCAACAAATATCACTTTTTTCAAAAATATTACAATCGTATTCACTACAAAATGCACTTACAGAACTACTATCACTATCACTAAGCACTGAATTATTTGCATTGCATATGCTCGTTCTGCTACTAGAGTTTCTATAAGGAATTAGTCTACACGTAGCACACAAAATATCACCAATTAAAATAGTTTTGTCTTTAGAACTACAGTACAATTGTTTATCATCCTTACTTAAAACGACCTTTTTGCCCACCAATTTTCATCAAACATTAATTGTAATTCTTGCAATTTTGCGATATTATAATTTCAATTATATTAACAAATTATAATGAACCACTAAAATATACGCTCAACAAATTAAATTGTTATCAAAATAAAAAAAAAATAGCAAGTTCAACTGACACATAATTAGAGTTCGCAAAAAACACACAAAACACAAACAAATGAATAGACTGCTATACAATTTGCAAGTAATAATATAATATGTTAGCAAATATAAATCACTAAAATGTTCACTACACAACGTAATTGTGTTGTCATTAAAATATAAGATTTCAATCTGGCACAAAATTAGTGTTCACAAAATATCACACCAAACATAAGAATTTATAGTATTTGAGGCATACACAATATCGAATGGTACATATTTGTTAAATAATAAAAGCATAGACTTTTAGATTACTAAATATTAAATTCTTTATTGTATTGCAGAATTGATAAAAATAGAATAGGAATATCATATTTATAATTTTATATAGGTTATGTTATTATTCAACATTATATTTTTTTATTTTAAAAATATTTTTATCATAATGATTATACCTTGCATAGTTTAGTTTATATACACATGCTTTATTGCCTTATTAACCCTTTCGACTCGGATGCCGCCGCTCCGGCGGCATGGTCATTTTACCGTTGCGCTCGGATGCCGCCGCTCCGGCGGCATGATATGTTTACCGTTCCAGTCGGATGCCGCCGCTCCGGCGGCAAATAGTGTCGTCGCGAACTAAACTTACAAATTGTGATTTTTCATTCTTTTGAAATTAATGCACCACTAACTTCATTTATTGATTAACTTATAATTATTTTCATAAATAAATATAATAACATTAATTTAATGGCTCACAAACACCATTATTTATTAGATATAAATGTTACTAGAAATTTTATATTATTTATATACATTATAATGTATTATACATATGCATATTATGTATAGATACACACACGTATATATATACGTGTAATAGAAAAAATAACGATATTATTGGAGTTGTTCTTAACACACTATACGAGCACGATAACCGTATCTACTCTCCAAGAATATCGTCTTTTAATTTTTTTTATTTAGTTTTTATTCAGAATATATTTGATATAATGTTTATTAATTAATTTTAATAAACATCTGTGTAAAAGCGATTTTTTAAACAATAATATGGTTATTATAACATTTTTTAATTTTTTTTCAAACTTTGTTTTATTATCATACTAACTGTATTTAAAAGCAATATTACCACATTTTAAAAAAATCCGACACAAAAAAAATTCCGAGTTGATAGGTATGTATAGCACTATAATACACCGAGCGCAGCGCAACGTCGAGCAGTCAGGCTCGCGAGTGGAAAGTGTTAAAATTAAAGGAAAATATGTCTTATGTAAACCAACATGGAGAAGGAGGAATCAGAGAGATCATGGAAGTCTTAATAGAAATATATTAGAATGAACCCTGCTTGTGGCAAGTCAAATCTGCAGCTTATCATGATAAAAATTTGAAAAATTCTGCGTATGATAAATTAGTGGAACAGTACAAATATATAGAACCAAGTGCTAATCGTAACAGTAAAGAATAGCTTGCGTACAAATTATAGAAAAGAAAAAAATAGATGAATCTAAAAGATCTGGCGCAGGCACAACAGAAGTGTACGAACCGAAATTATGGTATTTCAAACTTCTATGTTTATTCGGTACCACGGGCCCATGTTTCTAATATATCAGGGATTAATTTCGATCAAGTAAGTTCACAGTAACTTTATTTATTGAAAGTATTCATTATACGATTCAAAGGATAACATAAATAATGATAATTTTTATAATGTCAATGAATAAAGTTGTCTTGCCAAGGCACGCTTCCATCATTGTTGAAATAATGCACATATTTTTCCCTTACGATTTTTGCGGCATTTGGGCTATTTCCTAAATATCGTTGATTTAAATGTTTCATATTTGAATCATTCGAAGTCGACCCCAGTGTAATACATCCCTGTTTCATATTTTCTCGGTCAAAACATTCTGCATAAGTATATGAGTTAGTAGAATTAGACATCAAATAATTGTGTAAAGCACAACTTGCCAGTACTATTCGATCAATGTTTTTGGCTCGACATTTATTGGTGTTTTAAATATTCTAAATCTAGAAACCAATATACCAAAAGCATTTTGCACAATGCGTCTATCTCTACAAACACGATAGTTATAAATCTTTTTATCTTTTGAAGTAAGATCTGAGTGACGGAATGGTTTCATCATGTTCGTTCTCAAAGCAAAAGCATCATCAGCAATAAATACGTATGGCAGTATTCAGAACTATTTTTGATTGGTTCATGTGATGGAATCTCCAATTCATTTTTCTGGAGCTTGTCATAGAGTTCGGTTGTTTGGAGTATACCTCTATCTGATATCCTGCCCTTAACTCCAAAGTCACACACGATGAATTGGTACTTTGCATTTACTATTGCAAGTAGCACCATACTATGAGGACATTCATAATTATAATAATAAGATCCGCTTCCACTAGGAGGAATAATGTCTATGTGTTTGCCATCAATCGCCCGAATGGGATTTGATGCAAGCCTGGTTGAATAATTACCTCCGACTTTGAACTTAAAAAATATAAAATATAAGTTTCAAGTGAAATAAAATTTATGTACAGCGTAAAAATGTATTTCCGAGTCCCCGGTTTCCTGGGCTGGGGCCCCCTTGGGTCGTGGGCCCGTGGCAATTTGCCACCCACGCCACCCTATAGTTACGCCACAGCATACTGACTTTTATACTCACTTTGAAATAATTTTTCTCCAGTACTTTAGATATAGCTTCACACGTCTCAGGAATAATTACACGCAATGCCTGAGGAGATATTAATGTTGTAAACTTTAAATCCTCATAACTCCTTCCAGAAGCAAGAAATCTTAATGTTGCCGTCAACTTTTCGTGTGGCGAAATAGCTTTACGCATAATAGTATCTTGTCTTCAACTTAGAGGTGAAACCATCTTTAGCAATTTTAAATAAGTTTCTTCGTCCATGCGAAGAAAATTGTGCCAATCCCTTGGCGCTACTTTGAATTTATAATAGATTTATATGCGAAAACAGTTACTTTTTCTTAGCCATTCCTTGCACCAAATAGATCTCCTTTTAGTTATTTTCCATTTTTTGGGGCAAATACAAATGACATGGCCATAAAATCGTCATCTATTTCTGCACTAATTTTGATAAAAAAAATATAATAATCTACTAATCACAAATAATTCAGTAAAAATAATATCAATTATCACAAAGATATATTTTTAGGTTATGTTTTGACATTTATTATTTGACAGTTGCGCATTCATTCAGTTGCACATGCATACAGTTACGTCTGTGGCCGGCTTTAATAAGCATGATCCCAAATGTTGATAGATCTTCGAAAAGATCAGTAAAATTTGTTTCAACTTTCAACTTTATAAGACCCACGCCACTTTCTACAACTTTCTAATTTCATATCCCATGTGCTTCATTTTGTCAGAATATCCATTATTATTTTCATGGTTTTCAATTTCCCCTATTCTTGAATTGCTCTGAATACTGAAGTGCTCTGATTTTTCTTTGTATCCTTTTCTCGAAGCCGACGTTTAAACCAGTGTCAGATGGGAATAGTCTTGCACATGCTTGTTGATCTAATTAAATAGTCGATGCATGTGCAAGAATATGTATGGAAACATATTTTGCATGGTTCACACCTCAAGCATGTTCATTATATGTATATTTCACGGTTCAGCCGTACCACGTATGGTGCAACATCAGCAGTCGTTGATAGCACATTCCATTCTTTACTTTTCTTGACCTCCGTAATATTGCCTGGCAGTACTGTCCTACTTCTTGTGTGGATGCTGTAGATATCTCTGTCTCGTAGAAAGTATATGACCACACAGCCTTCGGTTCCTTTGTTGAAAAACATCTCTTTCATATAGTGTCAATTCTTTTAGAGTATTTTCCTTTCATCAATCTACTTTTCAACTGATTGTGGAAGCTTTCCAAAAACATATTTGTATTGACACCCAGACCTTTTCTAAAACTATATGCCCAGGTCTTTGTGCGCTTATAATAAGCCTTCCTGAAATATTTTGCGAATGACTGTGTAACTACATCTTCTTCAAGCTCCTTCAGGTTATCATTTAAACTGCTCGAGAATTCCTCTTCATTTAAAATCATTTTAATCTCTTAATTTTTAATCTCTAATTAATTATCAAAACTTGCGTCTGTCTTTGTCTACTTCTGATCTTTGCTCTTTCCAATTCCTGGACACATGCCATGAACACAATAATTTGTTTTCTGGTGACCTCATAACGTGTGACCTGCAATTGAAATATGCCGGAGCATTATCTGTCATAAAAGTTTTAGCCTTTATTTTTCCTACTGCCTCAGGAAATTGCTGGGGGAAAAAAATTTGAAAAAAGTAATTCATTTTGTCTGTTT